ATATACAAACACAAGTCTAACCTATCTCCATGTACTGTTTTGCGAAGTGGATAAATCATCAAATTATATATGTACTGTGTGCTGTATTTAACCAGTTAAAACATAAGAATAAGAAAAGGACGATTCTGGGGGGATAAGATTCGATCGAAAGTATCCTCTGGCTTCACATAGAAGGATGCTCCACAAAACAATCATGAAGACGTATACACACACTCGTACACACGTACTGCTACTAATGCTGTTCCTTCCATCAAAAGATAAAATAAATATTTCACCCAATCAATACAGGCGGGCACCATGAGACGCCAACCATGTGCACTCCATATGCAATGTAATGTGCTGTAGTGCAACGTGGTACCAAAACAGCAGGCACGACAACATATGAGTGTGTCATGAAAGTTAGCTTCCAAGTGCTGGTCGGTATTACAGACAAGTCTGAATTAACAGTGTTCCACAGAGAAGATAAATTTTTATGGATAAAAAAATATATGAATTCAATATTTTGAGGTTTGGGTTAAAATGTGAGGTCAAACTCATTTACACGTCTGTTGGGCAGGTTGGAATACTGTTAATCATAAATATGCCGCAAAGGTAGAAAAGTTGGATGTGGGGGCGTAGATGAGAAATGAAGTTGAGATTTCGTTGTTGGTGGTAAAAGAGAGTGAAGGAGGAGGAAGAGGACATGGAGGAGTGACAGGCTGGAAGAGAATCATTAGTGGGGGTTTCCTAGTTTTGAATATTACGCTGTCAGGCATGGTTGTTGTCGTACACAATTTGACACGGGGGTGTGACGGCAATACACAACACGCACTTACACATGTGTGAGACTCAACAACCACTCTGAAAAATGTTTCACATCTCTCTCTCTCTCAAACACCAGATGACAACTCTAGTGGAGTGTGGCAGCCGAGGTGTCACTTTTGGATTCCAAGATTCAAAGTTCTTCATCCTCAAGTTAAATGTCCTCTTAGTTCTTGTTCCCAACCAATTAAGATGCTTCTTGCTCGCAATGGAAAGCTCACCCTCAGGTCTCATTTCACCCCCTTCTCTTTTTGTCTTCTCTCTTCTTCTTTTTTTGACCGATTTCGACTTCACTCTTGCGCGCCCACATCTGATTTTGACCATTTCAATCAGTAATCTCACTTCTCTGCACTTCACTTTCTCCCACGAATCAAGTTCAAAAGTGATGATATTTTTTTGGTATCTATAGATTTGAAAATTTTAAAACTATGACCTTTTTTTGTTTTAGTGAAACAGGGAATATGTTCGTGAATCAGTCAGAGTACAAAACAACGTATACCCGTATGAACGAAAAGAATCAAAATTGGCAAACAAAGACAAGAATACGACAGGACAAGGGGCCAAGGAGGTTCTACAGGCTCAGAAAGTCCCATGGCTCTGTACATATGGTCGCGATTCTGTATGAAATGGGACCTTTTTTTTTCCGACTCTTTGTACCCTTGACTCGACAGTTAACACTGTCAATATTGCCATACTTGACCCTAGAAGGGGAGAAATACAGCCATAACATGGTCTAATTTATGAAGAAATATGAACATTATAACGCAGCGATGTTTTGACCATTCATGCATTTAAAATCGCCATATTGTATCTGACATGTTTGTGTGTGTGCACGTGGATGCGATTCGAATTTTAAAATCCTAGTCCTTCAAAAGTGATGATAAAAAATGCTCGTGGAAGTATAAATGGAAAAAAGGTGATGAAATTACGTTATTAGTAAAGTTAAAGCCGAGTTACTAGAATTTAAAAATCCACGCGAAGGACAGAGTGAGAGAGAATATTGAATATAATATAGGCGTTGAGTAGTAAAGTGTAGTTTTAAGCCACTTATTATTTGTGTATATTTCTTTTCATTTGTGAGGGGGAGCTGGAAGGTAAGGTAGAACTTTGCCGATCCAGTTTTGCACACAGACACAAATAAAAGAAATAGCTTTTTTTTTAAACTGGGTTTAATCAAGGATTAATTAATGTTTAATAAAGAGCAGAAAGGGAGTTGCCGCCAATTGTTGAATGAGATCTCTAACTTCTGATTAAAAAACAGCAAGACATAACAACCATATATGTTGTAGACTGTTCTCTGAAACTTCAACAGCAGCTTCATTCAAATAATAATAATAATTTATAGTGCGGAAAGTGGGATGATCAGGATAAATAAATTAACATGAAACGTGACCCAATGATGATGGCTAATGTCTAACCAATTCACTTGGTCATTTGTTCCTTTTTTAATTAATTTTTTCCTTTTCCTCTTTTAATTTTTCCCGAACTGTTGTCGGTACGGTGGTGTTCAACGACCTACTTGAGGATTATATCTTATATTCTTATTTACATAACTCGCAGTCTCATATATTCGGATGTGTGCGCGCGCGCGCTTATTGTGCACACGCGCGAATGAGATATAGGCTGGTGTACCAGCAGAGTTTTAAAAGAAATAAAATATGTTGGCCAAAAAGAGTTTAAAAAATTACAATTATTAAATTTAAATTTAAATTTCAGTGAATAAGAATATTTTGACTTTGAAAAAAACACGCACAACATACCAGGACACTCTCCATGTTTTATTTATAAGATAGAGAGAGAATTTTTTTTTATTCTATATACAAGTTATATCATTGAATTTATATTATAAAATGTTTTCACCTTCCATTATATTAAATGTTGGAAGGAGAAAATAAATTATTAAGAGAGAAAATTAGTGCAGTGACCATAAAATATATAGGCTCCAAAAATTCTAGATAGAGTTTATAAAAAATTTAGAGCATGACCCATCGCAAATTTAGTTAGAATGTGATGTTTTTTCTTTGTTCAACAAAAACTCCCCTTAACAAATATAAAATTTTTGGCACCATATATCCAAAATAGAAAAAAAATTTCACATAATTGATCCATGATTCAGAATTCCATATTATATGCACCAAACAATTTTAAATAAAATATAAGATTTTTTTTAGATAACAATAACAATTAAAGAAAAATTTTAGAATTTCACATTGTTGAAAATGGTTATTTATTATTTGGTTGAAGTTGGCTTGGCTTCTCATTTTTGAAAATAGAAGATTAGACTGAGATCTATTATCTATCATCAAATTTTTACTGTCTTTACATCTCTTGGTAACATCAAATTTTTTGCAGACTTTGTTTAATTCGTTTTGGACAAATGATTGTATTTTTTGTATTACTGATCTGCAATACTACATCATTGATATACGACTATATATCATTGATAAACAAGTTGAAAAGTTATCACTGATATGGCTTATATATCAGTGATATATAATAGTATATTACTAATATATTATGGCAAATCAGCGTAATTAGACAATCAAACATAAACTTATTTATCATTAATATACAATCATATATCAATGATGTAGTACCGCAGATCAATAACATGAAAAATACATAATTGTTTACCTAAAATGGAATAAACAAAGTTCAAATAAAAAATTTTGAACTTTTAGCTCACCACAGAGAATCAAATGTCTAAACTAATAAAATAAAAAATCATGAATCTGTAGCTCTGTTCCCTCGTTGCATGCTCTGTTTTGTCAAGTATCGTCAATATCTCTCACCTCGTGTTTGTCTCTCACTGTCATGATCATTGCTTGCTCACATTGCTCTGCTTTCTTTTGCCTTTGAGTTGTTTTTTCTGTCGTGATTGTAGCTCACATTTATTTTTCTCATTCGCTTGATTTCTCACATTTTGAGTCTCTCTTGATACCTGCAAAAAGTAGTGTTATAATTTTAAAAGGACAGTTTTGTAAATTAAATATTAACTAAATATTAAAAAGGTTATTTTTAAATTTTAAAAAAAGATAGGCTATTTCTTTTATTTGATCTTATGATATGAGTTATGTGTGCAAAAGCCTCTTGTTAAAATATGCATATTTAATAGGAATAAAAAAAATAATTTATTAAGTTTATAAATAAAATTGATGAGTTTTAAAATTTTCTTTATTTTTAATATAATATGTTAAAAATAATTCATAAATAACAACATAGGAATATATAATATCATTACAAAAGAGCCTGCCCCTGCGAATGTTGGACAAACTGATAGGAGTATGTCACCAAACTTGAAATTGATAATCGAAAAGCTAAAGTCAAACCATGAAGTCAAAACGCCAAAAGACAAAAGAAGAGGGGGCGGGGTTGGTAGGGTGGGCTTGCCTGTAATCTTGTGGGTATTTCACAAACAAAGCCCATCTGTATTTATTTCAGGTCTTAAAAGTTCTTTTTTTCTTGGGCCAAGTCTTAAAAGTTAAAATTGAGTATCAATTAATGGCATTACTGACCCACCAAAAAAAAAGGTCGAACTGCACCAAAAAATTACATATTAATCATGAAACTGAAACATTAGCACAGTTCTAAAAAGCAAAAGAACATTCAAATCACAAACCAGCGACTTTTGTCCCCTGCTGAAAAGGTCAGTGCAAATATAATTTTATGTAAGAATGAAATTCATTTAATTCGATCAACGAGGTTGTTTTAAAATGTATGTTTTTTTTTTTTTCAGTTTTTCCCTCATCCATGTCAACATTCCTGCTTCCCACGTTATTAATCTACATGACTGCCATATCACCATTCTTTTAGTCCTGTCAGCATTATTTATTGGTGTTGAGAATTGAAACGTTGAGAACTGAAATGATAAAAATTAAATTTAAAAAATAAATTAATAACTCTCCCAAATATAAAAGACTAAAAGCTGCATTATCCTGAAAATGTATACAGATTTCAAAAACTCTATGGGAATGAACTCACTTGAGTTAAATATGTAATATTGAAATAATATAGTTGATTGATCGGGCTCGGGCTGATGCCCCGATCCCAATTCGAGTTTCAACTAATGTACAGATCCATAACTTATGAAGTATTTGTTGGGGGCCAGATTAGAAAGCCCAACAGTATCATCCAATGTTTGCTGAATCTATTACATGACACATTCTCCAAAACATAAAATAAAATTTGATCACGGAGGATGAACAGGATGACTTGGAACGTAACGTTCTAAGAAACTCTACTGTTGTGATTCTTAATAATTTTACAACTTTGATTTTTGCAAGAACTTCTTGCATCTAGAACAGGCATAATTCATGCATCTAAAATACAATTAGCGTGAGAGTGATGCTGATAATTAAAGAACATGTGAATAAGCATCAGTGTACCATACAAGTAATCTCTGACTCAATTACTGAAACAACAAACCTTAAACTTCTCCGGGTAATGGCTAACAATCTTTCTGATACAATAAAAGAACTAGAGACCAGACAAAAAGACGAGTCCTCATTCCTTTCCAATTCCTGACAATATCCTAATATTAATAACACTACAACAAATAATCTGGTTGTCAACACAAAGGTACCAGTTAGCTTCATTCTGTTATCATGTCAGCCTCCAAATCACCTGAAAGAAGAATCAAAATGTTGCTAATGATGATAATGAAAACATGTTGAGTCGATTCAGAAGAATTGTACCTAAAACCTCTATTGTGCAGGCAGAGATATATTGATGTCTGGGTGCGGCCTGTGATCCGACAAATGTTGAGAACCGTTCAAGTGCTCATTGGGTGTAGCATCCAAGTTCTGTTCATCAATAGTGACAACCTCGGATTCTCTCTGGCCTTGTTCTGGTATCTGAGACGTTGGTTTCAAGAAGGCTTCACCATTAAGATTTTCATGTGAGACCGGCCTACCTGCCATCCCCGTATCTGGACCACCTGAATTAGGTTGCTGCTTCTTTTTATATTTCTTATGGTAAAAACCATTTGACATGAAGCTGCCCATCACAATCTGGAATAAAGTCGAGGACAATAAGCTGAAAATTCTAAGTGCCAGGTGGATTCTTGAGTCAGAAGCCGAAGATAGCGTGAATATCGTACCTGGATTGGGCTAGCAGCTGTCAATAAACCTGCAACTCCACCTCCTATGACACGTCCATCAGGGCCAGCTAGTGAGACACTCAACCCACCAGTCCGACTTGTCATGCCACTGCCATTGTCGTTCATTGTGAATGACCCAGACAGAGATAAAATCTCAAATCGACCCTGAAACAAAATAACGGACCAAATCACTCCGCAATATATATATATATGGGCTTTATGAAATTAAAGAACTGTTGGGAGGAGAGAGATCATGCCTCGTAAGTCAAGAAGCCACCGGAAGAGCCAGGTTGGCGCATTGTGACATTAGAGATAGCTCCATTGGCAGAAAGAATGCATATTCCTCTGGGACCGTTCTGGGCGAATGCAAGAATTTTTCCTGCAACATCCTGCAAGGTAAAGAAGTAAGCTATCTATCATGTGTACGAGATTGTAGCATACTGCCATGTCAATCTATCACTTTGGTTCTGCAATACCTCTCCGGTACGAACAGTCACCACATGAGGTGTAAAATCCCCGCCAGCTGTGTTTGCAAAAAACCCACCTTCAAAGATGACAAGGCAGATGTTAGAAGATCTGTTCCTCAGGTAATAATTTCATCAACAAAGGATTGCATCATCACACATTTATGCGGTGCACGCACCGCCGGGTTCAACTTATTTCCGCAGTCACAGTTCGACGCAGGGCAAAAAATTGGGAACCCGACAACTTTACTTGGATATGAGAAAGTTCATATTTTTCAGCGATTATGAGCCTTAAGTCACCGTTTGTCCAGCATCAGAAAGAAACCGTAGCATAGGAACAAAATGAAAACAAAAGATTTGATTCAAGGTAATATATCATCCAACATCTTGGACTTGCCCGACACCGTCCCAGGGACAGCAGGTTCAAGACCAAAAGTTGGGTGGAGAGAAACTCACCGAAGGATGCGAAAAGGTGGGGAAGAGGCTTAGGTCGACCCCTTTTGGAGGATAAAGAGAAGGGAGAGGCAGACCGTTGCTGATACGATGTCGTCAAGTTTCCATCGGAGTCATATTTTCTGGGCCTTCCCCTCTTCTTTTTCCCAGACAAATCAAAGCTGCCTTGGCCTCCGCTCACCGGCGTTGTAACGGGTTCTGCAACCACTATTGCCCCTGCACTGTTCACCACGTCCATCTTGGTCACCTGAGGCAGGGATACAGCAATAGGTTGTGGGGTTGAGCCCGACACGCTTTCTTCCATTAGAGTACTCTGCATAGGTTATCTGTGTTCGTTGCAGGATGAGAAGCGACAAGGTGAAGATGAATGCTTTGAACTTTGAACAATGAGGTCCCTGGAAATGGCGCCACAAGCTGTAGGCCTTTTTACCCTTGCTGCAGAATTAATGTTACCACCTAGGTTTGCTTTGTTCATGAAAGAAAACCAGACTCATAATACTGCCATTTTCCCTTCCCACGGCACTGGTGCGCTCTATTAATACGGAAATTACCTTAAAAAAACGAAATAAATAATCAACTCGCGTTTTCTTCAAAATGCGGTTTTTATATTTTTAAAAAAATTTATATTATTGAACGCGCCACTTCAGCTTTAATGTCAATTATTAAACGCAGCACTTAATATTACTAGAGCAGTTCAGTAATTATAATCCTCATAGCAGTTAAATTGTCCTTTTAAATAACTGTGACTTTAATCTACACCTAAACTTTTGTCATGGGACATGTACTTCTACACCTCGGCGAGCAAATTCTTTTGGCCTGTCGTGGTGCATATGGAAGTATAAATTGACCCTTCTTAATTTGGTCAAAATAAAATTTTAAAACCGTGGGAAAAATATATCTCATTGATGCGCCTATGCTAGATAGCTTAACTGGTAAAAGTGAAGCAACTCAACAGTCATCAGGACTTACCTAGTCACTCGTGTTATGCAATTTTCAACATAATGAAGCACTGTCCAGCAATGGTGTACTATTAATTAAACTGGCATGGGCCATAAGATCGACACCAGTAAGTTTTAAAATTCATTTATTTTTTTTCTCTTATGAATTAATCTCATGTCCATGTATAATTTAGAAAAGTAATGAGCGGAGATAAAAGAGGTTTAACATATTGCCGGGGTATGATAGTTTTGTAGCTTGTCAAACGAAAGATATAAAACACAGTAAAAAGAGCAAAACGCTTGCTCTTGGTTAGGAATATTCTTTCCTTGCTTGATAATCTTATCTTTGAAATAAGGATACTTTTTCAGCAGCAAGAAGAAGAAAACCGAGTTGAACAAAAGCGAGTCGTCAGAAGAACATTTTATTAGTAATGCGAAATTGATGCAGACACACTTTTAATATAATAAACAAAAGTAATTTTTAGACCCCAAAAAAAGTAATTCTCATTGGCGTTTGGGGAATTCTTGACTCGAAAACAAAACCTGCTGCTGATTTTTATTTTTTTAACAACAAAGGGGGGAAATTGAAAATTACAGTTTAATATACACCCGCTTAAGAATTCCTTTATAATTTTTTTGACCAAACGCGCTTAAGAAGTTCGAGTCCCTTCCTCACGCTTCCGAACTTTAGCGGGATTTGAAATATATATATTTATATATTTATATATTCGTTGGTTTCACCAAACTCTAATTCCAATAGATATTGGAGCACTCCACGCCCCTGTAGATTTAAGCTTGCTCTTTAATTATACCCTATTTAATCTTATTTATAAGTAATTTTTAACATATTTTATTAGAATTAAAAAAATTAATTTTATTAATTTTATTTTAAAATTTAATAAATTTTACCTTTATCCTTAATGAATAAATATTCTTAAATTTTATTATTGATATTTTTATTAAAAACATTTAATAAGGACAATGTAAAAAAATATTAAAAATTAATAAGAGTCTTATAAATAGAATTAAAAAATTTTCTTTTTTTTTATAAATAGAAATAGAGGAGTATTAAACAAAATTACCATCATTAGCATGACAAAATCGATTTTCTCACGTAATACAGTGGAGGTAAGAAAAACATATCTTTTAGCCTTTAAAATTGCATCAAGGTTAATTGAGGAAGGTCATTTTAGTTTTCTATTGAAAAGCTAGAATTTAAAATTATGACAAACTTTAACCATGTGACAGTGGGAACTTTAATGAAAGTTGACCATAATTTTGAAATTAAAAATTTGGCTTTCCTGTAAATCAAATAAATATATATATGTGCATATGTATATAGAAGACAATTCATCTATTAATAATTATTTCCATAAAATAAAAAATTAAATATTGTATTATTAAATTTAAAAATCAATAATTTATTTGTTTATTATCTAGTATTTACATAAATATTGATGTATTCCCTTCAGTCACACACGCAAATGTGGTCACAAATTTAAAGATAAAAATCAAAACAATTTCCAGACGGTTTTAATAATGCAGCTAAACTCTCTTTGAAGTGATGACGTAAATACAAGTGACTCATTTTAAGAATACGAGGTATTAGTTTAATTCATCGAAAAAAGAATACGGGGTATTACATTTTAATTTTAATACAGTATTTGTGTATAATTCCTTTTTGGTACTCTGTTCATGCGAGAATTAGCATAGATCACCCTTGTTAAACGGAATCTAAACAAATAACTGTACTACTGCCAATGCCACTCATAACTTTTAAACAAAAGATTTGGCAAAATTTTTATGTTATAAATTCGTGTATAAATTCAAATAATTCATATCAATATTGTCCAATATAAAAATATGCTATTGATCCAGTTGAGACGTGTGACGGTGTGGTTGCTTCAGTCATTTTATTGGTGCTATTGTCATTCGAACTTCTAAGATATTTTTTTAAAAAAATTAATGTTTTAAAGTATAAAATACTTTAATAAAAATAAAATTTTATTATTGATTTTTTTCATGTTATTTTTTTCATATATTTTTTTCTTATATTGTTTAAACAACGAAATTTTCAATTAAGAATATTGTTAAAGATTTATATTTTTATTTTAAAAATAAATTATAAATTATATTTAATAAATTTTATTAATATGTGTTATTTTGTCTAAAAAAATTGATAATTTAAAATTGAAATAATATGATATTATTTTTTTAAAAAAAGAGTATAATGTTAGAAAAGAAATAATATTATTGGAGGGAAAAAACACAGATATGATTATGAATAATTGAATACACGTATTATGCTCTGAAAAAGGTCAGTGAAATAAAAGCTGTCGGTAAGACCGTTGACCGTCCTGACAAAATGACACTGCCCATTATTATAAATCAACTAATACAATAATTAAGTAAATTACTACTCAGCCTAACATAAAATATTTATTTACTGGTTTTCGCGCACATCATGAACTTGTGACTTTTTTATTTGTATTTATTCTTCCAACCACAAGTATTTTTGTCCAAGGGGCTAAATTAGTCAAAAAGGGTACCAGATTCGTTTAGAAAGAAAAATCAATTCGACATTGCGTTAATTCGTTTTAGACTTGAGAACCTTTTTTTTTTTTTTTGGGGTCAAACTAGAGATCCCTATCTAACTTCCATCTATTTACTTTTTTTTCAAAATCAATTGATGGAATTAATAATACAAAAAATGATTTTTTTAATTTTTAATTGTGTGCATAAAAAGAGAAGACGCGTATGATGTATCTATTATATATATATGCGTGAGAAATTGTTAGATAAATCAAATGTCACATATCTTTTATAATCTATCTAATAAAAATATAATACTTACATAATGTTAATATAATTTAATTTTAATATTAATAACAACAATGAAAAAAGATAATAAATTAAATAAATATTGTGTTATAAGAATAAAATCAACTAACTTAATGATATAATATTTTATTTAGATGATTTAAAACATTATAAATGAACAAGACACAAATGACACGGTACATCAATCCACTAAAAATTTTTGTATGTGACCAACGTTACACATGAATTATGACATACGATAGAGTATTATGAACTTAAAATATGTTTAAATTGAATGTTTAAAATATTTTGCTCGGTGAAATCTTACGGTTTATCTTATATTTTATGTTAATATTGATATTTTTCTCCTTTTTGTTACAAATAAGAATCTTAAAAAAGCAGAAGTATTATTTAGAAGAGTTATAAACAACTCTAACCCTACATTTATCTTTGTAATTTTTAAAAAACTCAAAGTATCATTTATTTCACTCCATTGGCGGTGATGTTTTTTATTTTAAGTTGCATGCATTTTATTATGGAAATAACTTCAGATTAGTAAAACTAATTTAGATGCAGAGAATTTGTTGGCATTTATTTTTTAAAAAATATTATATCAAATTCACAGAAGTTTGAGAATATCTACTTCAATATTTCAATAATTTTACACTCGCATATAAACTTGGTTAACGTAATATATTGTTACACATATCATCTACCAGTAGCAGGGCTGTGTGAAGAAGTTTTTGGGCCCAGGACAAAATTGTTTAAGAGACTTAATATATTATCATTCATCTATTTTTATATTATTTTTTAATTTATTAAAACCATATTCAAATTTTTTATTTGACATTTTTGCCACTTCACATCCTATAAAAAATTAAAACAATTACAATTATAAATAAAAAATAAAAAAAGAACAAACACACATGATGTAATGGATACTTGAGATTATAACTGTTGGTTTTTTTTCCTTTTTAAGCAAAAATCCCATTTTAAAATAAAAATATATAATCAACATTAATACTTAATCGAAAAAATAATAACCAATGGTACAGAATATAGGTAAATATTTTTGGACGTCCAAGGCAACCATCTCATTAACCTAACAGTTCACACGGCCTTGACTGGTAGCATGATATTATAATTGCTGGTGGGAAAAAAAAACACGGTATTATAATTATATATTCCCTTCATTTAAAAATATAAAATATTTTTAATAGAATTTCATTTTTAATAAAGTAATTACTTATTTTTAAATTAATCATATTTTTTTATATTTATCTCTATTAAATACTTTATAATAAATATAAAATCATTCCTTAATAGGAATACTTTTTTTAAAAAAAAATAACAGTTACACTTCAAAATATCAAAAATATTTTATATTTTTTAATGAAAAGAATGTGTGAATTTACTATCAGGATGTTAGTGCTCCTTAAAAGCGCAGAAAAATATAAATAAATGAATCAATTTGATCGATATAGAAAGCTCTGACGTCGATTAATAAATCCGTGAAAACTGATTTTATATAGACGAATCACAACTTGAAAAATATAATGGTTTGTTGCCGAGGAAGAGGGTGGTGGCGCTGGGTTAAAAATTAACATAATCACAAGTTCAAGCACGAAGATTTTACCACGCTATATCTATAGTAGCTCCTGATTTTTGTTTTGAACTCCTGTAAATTCTAACTTGTAATGTTGTATTTATCTCCTAACACACACACACACACATATCTCTCTCTCCCCACACCGTGGG